ATAACACAAATATAGTATGAAGACTCTTTTTCGCCAATTACCTCAACTATGAACCCTGAGATGCTAAACCTTCCACAGGCCAGGAAAGAAAGCAGCCACCAACAACTGGTCTAAGAGGGAAGAGTTTCTCTTATCCAAAAATCCAGCTCAATGCTACAGGACTGTCAAACAACAAGATTAATTTTCAAAACACACTATGGAACTAAGGCATCCAAGTAAGCACTCTCCTTTATAGCAAGGTGAATCATTCTTCCAACAGAAAGAATTTGTCACCACTTCTGGAACTGCCCTCAAAACCATTTCACAATTGTGCTAATTTTCTGACAGTCATAACTAAAAACCAGTTTGTAATCACGCTAATTTTTTCGCTCACAAGCAGTTTGGACTCCAAAAGAACATCGACCAGCTTTTTTCTCTAACCTGATTCCAGGTAATCATAAAATGAAAATCCAGCCTCAAAGAATGAGTTTGCCACCACAAGGATTTTCAAAATAATGTGCCACAGGCTCTGACAACAATTCCTCAAGGTGAGTTCCAACAAAAGATCAGTACAGCCCACCAAAAATAAATACTTGCAAATTTTTAGGGTGTAGATCACTCAGATAATGCCCAGGTTGGGTTATTTAAATACCCACACACCTGCTTTCCTTAATGCTCCTAGCATCAGGTATGTTGGCTGCTTAGACACAGCTTTCTGATAAAGGTGTGTCCTTTGAATCCATGACTACGCTACAGATTTAGTTAACTTTCCCACTATAATTTAACCCTGTTGGATTTGCCTGTTTTCTGGAGGCTCAATTCTAGTTGTCAGCTTCTGAGACTGTGAAATACCATCTCTCTGCAGTGCCTTACCCTCTTCCTCTTCTACTTCCCCACCTCTTCCCCACTCCGCAGGAGGATTCACTTCGAGTGCCAGGGCTTGGCCCTCTCTTACCCCTCTGCCTTCAAGGTGCACCCAGTCCCGTGTTTTAAGGACTGCCGACATTTGTGATGAAACAGATAGCAGAAAGGGAGGATATGACCATGTTTGTTGTGTTTGTGTTCAGAGAAGTGTTCAAACAAGAAAAGGGAGGGTCCCTTCCTGTAAGTGTTATTTTATCTTAAATACCTTTCCAGTTGTCATCTTTGGACTGCTCTCAGACACTGAGAGACTTGCATTCCTTCCGACAGGCCCCAGAAGCATGAGATTTATGTCCTCCTTTCCTTCACACATAGGACCCAACTGCAAAGGCTAAATCACAGCCTCTCTACCAGCCGGCAAACCCAATCTCATATTTGGAGTACTACGCTGCTTCTTTTTTATAACAGAGCAGACAGCTTCCTCTTTTCTTAGAAGGCAGCCTCTGTACAGAACTTCATCGTGGTGTCATGTGTGCAGTTTTGCTGGTATTTTTAAGTGATTTCCCAACCAAATTTGAAGCTCCTTGGAAGCTAATACAGTACCCCGCTCATCTCTGGATCCCTAGCACGTAGTGGGCACAAAATACATGCCTGGATCAAATACATGAACGATAGATTTAAAAGAGTTCAGAAAGAAAATCGACCAGACTAAATGGAATTGTAGCGTACAACTGTTTTGTAGCCTTTCCTCAAAGTAAAAGAATTAACAGCTTGTGCAATCAATAACAGTAAAGATATTAAATCATGCTATGGTAACAGATGCCATAATTACATGGCAACTTAGGATGATAGCATTTATTACATTAGCAACTTTAGACGAAACACTTAACCTTTCTGTGTCTGTTTTCCCCCATTAAACCAAAGAGGGCAGAGGGGATCTCTGGCTGCTGTGGCTCAGTGGATTCAGTGCTGGCCTGCAAATCAAAAGGTTGCCAGTTCAATTCCCAGTTACAGCACATGCCTGGGTTATAGGACAGGTCGCCAGTTGAGGGTGTGTGCAAGAGGCAACCAATTGATGTTTCGTGCTCTCTCTTTCTCCCTCCTTCCCCCTCTCTCTGAAAATAGATAAGATCTCAAAAATGGGGTGGAGGTGATAATCTATTTACCTAATCACAAAGTCATAATGAAGCTAGAATGATATGCTCTATAAGATCATTACATAAATATAATGCATTATCAGGCATATTTAAGCTAATAATTCTCATATTAGTGTTACTTTGTGTGCATACTTAACTAAAACATATGAATAAAGTTCAGAAAAAAGAGCCTACTGTCAAATATATAGTACATGTAATAATATATGTGGATCATGAAAATTTTTTCAATCATGGATTCTTGCAGAAGCCTCCTATCTATTCTATTTGTCTTTAGAAAAGCTCACGATTATGTGTAAGTTAAATTGTACATGACTGCAGCGAATCTCAAGCTACTGTTTTTTTGGTGCAAAAGCAGGAGGCTTGAACCACCAAGTCCATGCTGACCCGCCTGGAGCCCCAGCCCCGCACTGCCCTGTGCACCCAGCTCTGCAGAGACAGGATGAGGAAGGCGCTGACCGCGTTTCATCACAGAGTTGGCTGATCAATCACCAAAGCCTGCAGCTGAAAGTACAGGCAAGCAAAAAGATAATTCTTCAGTCAGGGCACATGCCTGGGTTGCAGGCCAGTTCCCGGCAGGGGACGCATGAGAGGCAACCACACATTGATGTTTCTCTCCCACTCTTTCTCCTTCCCTTCCCCTCTCTCGAAAAATAAATAAAGAAAAATTAAAAAAAAAAAGATAATTCTTTAACAGTAGACAGCTCAGACTATCACTATAATTAGGACCAACTATTGCCTGAATCTGAAAAAAAATGAGTAAAATCAAGGAATGAGTGCACCGAGGCCAGCAACACGTGATAAACACGTAGTTAAAAGCATCTTCTCCTTTTAGAAGAATAAAGTACTTTTGTCAGAACAGTAACTGTAGAGAAAATGCAAAACAAAGAAAGGTTGGTTCCAAATATGGTACAAACATCACAGATAACACCATGCTATAGATTTGGGGGCTGTTGGGTTGTTTCAACTTGACTCGAATGCCTAAAAATATCTACCTACTTCTTCAACAACCATTCTCTGTGCTTTAAGCAAGAGCAAAACAGATGGCCAAGTTGCTGACACTGCAGGCCCAAGGTTCTTCAGCTGCATTTTTCCAGTTATCCACTGCTTAAAGAGGTGAAATACGGGATAATATAGTACAGATTTAAAGAAACCAGTAAGTTATATGCCACCCAAAAACAATCCTGCATTGGAAGGCAAACCATGCACTTGTGCCTAAAATCTTTAAGCCTTGGTAATCAGCTTGTAGGACTTTCACATCTTTCTGAAAGAGAAAGAGGTGAGCTAATCACTGAGTCCTAGAAGTAGTTCCTCAGAATCATCTCTAGAAACACCCCCAGCAGTAAACAATAATCAGCTGGAAGCAGAAATATCAAGAATAAGGAGCTTCCAGGATTTCCTTCTAGGTACAAAAGCAATCAACTCCTATTTTTAATCTTGTTCTGGCGCCACCATCCAGCCAAACTTCTCTTTCTTTCTGGCTATTCAAAGATAGTTGATTTGTCACTATAAAGTAACTGTTTCAAAAGTCAGAACTGCATGGAAGTCATCACAGATTTAAAGGCAATGCTTTAATTGAGAAGAATAAAGTATGTTGAAGAGGCAGAAGGAATGGCGATGCCCTAACCACAGAAACAAACTCATCCACTGCCACTGATTTGGGGACTGGCCAAAAAATAACTTCCCAGCTGATTAATTGAAAAATATATATGTTGGTAGCCAAATGCAAATGAAATTTCCTTCCATGTCAAACTGGACTTATAATACTCAAATCTACTTCTGTTTTTTCACTATAAAGGATGGGTGGGGGGTGGAAGAGATAATGTTTCCATAAGTAAACAAAAAGTCAGAACTCTCCTGGGAACTTGTCACATTCTTCATTTCCCATCAACAATTTTTAATCCACTTGAAAAATGCCAGTGAAGAGGGCCTGTGGCAAAGCACTGAATAAGAATATGCAACACTGGGGACACCACCACACTGCTGACATCAACCTTGGACAAAATGCTGCTTTTGTCTCAGAGGCAGCCTGTGACAAAAACAGGAACTTTATGAGAACTGATCACAACTGCACAAGAAGCCTGATCACATGCCCCCAACAGAGCAATGTTTCATTGTTATCTGAGGGACTTCTTTAATAACAGTGGCTTGATTTATTTCGTTCTTTTAATTCTCAAAATAAACCCAGCCCTCCTAGTACCAATCCATTGTCAAAAGAAGGAGGATGCGGGCCAGGATTTGCATGTTACCTGTCCTTCCTTCTTCAATAACTCCAAAACGCGATCAGGTGTGGGAAATGCAGCCCAAATAAAGGCACCAAGGGAAAAAAAACCCTTATGACAAAGGTGGTCTCAAAGCAGCAGCATGTGTGTCTCTCTCTCTCTCTCTCTTTCTTTCTTTCTCTCTCTCTCTCTCTCTCTCTCTGGATTAAAGCCTCTGCTTCTAATCTCTCTAGACTCTCAATGGCCCACCCTGCTTCTATCTCACTGTCACTGGAAAGGCGTCTGGCATTGTTAAAGGAGGAAGATATGCTGCGGATTTCCTATGTGTCTTTCTCTTTTTTTGAAGGGAAGAGGGTGAAAGGCATGGGACCCTCCCCTCGAAAAGGGTAAGGGCAGGAGAAAGCTGTCAGCCACCCTGCTAGCAGCCTCACCCCCACCCCCACCGTGCCCACATGCCCGGACCATGCCCGGACAGACGCAGAGGGCGCAGCTTTGTCTCGGGTTTCGGGGCGCAGGGAGCGCAGAAGCAGCCCAGGCCTGCGGAGGACCTCTTCCCCAAGCCCCTGCTTAACCCCGTCCCAGAGAACACAATGAACGACACGGGAAACCCACTTCCCCGGGTGGGAGAGGAGGGAAGACGGCTCTGAAGGGCCGGGGCCAGATTTCCGGCATCGTCCTCCCCTCTAGCCCGCACGGCCACCAGGGCGCGCGGCAGCGACCTGGTCTCCCTCACGCCACGATCCGCAGCGGCGTCCGGGCGTTCGCACCCGCTCCCGGCTCCTACCTTCCGAGAGCTCCAGCTCCAGTTCCGCCAGCTGCGCCCGCACTTCGGGCGGCAGAGCAGCCACCGTGGCCGGCGCGGGTTCCAGGCCTCGCTCTGCCATCCCGGCCTCGCCAGCCACACTCAGGAAGACAAGAGAAGGGGCCGCAGGAGGGACGGACTGACGCTGGCCCACACCCCGGCTACAGGATCCGGCTCCGGCCACCGAACGCCGCCAGCACCGAAGCTACCGCCGCCGCCATGAGGGAGGGTCACGTGAGCGCGCCGGCCCCGCCCCCGGGCTGAGGACGCTCCGCCGCCGCCGGCCAGTCAAACTCAGAACTCGCGGGCTTACGGCGCCCCCTATTGGGAGGTTCCTGGAAAGACGACCCCAGCCCGCCACCCCGAGTTCTCCAGCACAAAAAGGGCTTAAGGTGTTGATGGTGTGGACACGCAGCGTTTATTTAACCTTTTATTAATTCATGGGCGACGTCTCTTCAGGGACTCCTGAGTATACTTTTCCAGCTCTCTTCACTTAGTAATGTTTGCCTTTGTTTTGTCCCTTCCTGCATTTTACCCTGACCGACTCCTGCCCATTTATAGGGATGAGAAATCAGGCCACTTCTTTTATTGGGACTTACCGGTCCCATTTGCCAGGAGCAATTTTGTTTCAATTTCAGTTCTAGTTCATGTATGACAGTGGAGGGAAAATCCAGTTACTCCTGCCTAGACTTCTAACTACTTGCAAAAGGAGAACTTAGTCTTCTCTTTTTATCCTTCTTACTGTATGACTTAATAGGTATTCCAAAAATATTAATATTTTAATTCAATATAAGGAAGATGCTAACATTTGTGTACTTTTATCAGGAACTACTGGGCAGATGCTTAAATTGTCACTCATACGCTTTCTTTAAAAGTATTCAATCTGTTTTTTAATGCCATAATTCCCCCTCACACTTTGGGGGGTTTCCTCGCACTTCCATGCGATCCAAAAGTTGTTCTTAAAAAGAACAGACCCCCAACATTTATCCACCATGAATTTCTAGTTAATATCATTTATAGGCTGGAAGAAAACATTTTTAAGTTGAAAAAACAATTTCAGCTTGAAAAAAAGGCTGTGACATCCTGGTTGATTGAAGGTCAACTTTGGTATTTCCTTTTAACCACAATAATGTAAGGAGAATTTGTGGGAATATATGTATGTTTGTCATCTGGTTTACATAAGGATCTGTTTCAGTGTTTTTTTAAGGGTGAAAATTCACTGATGTTCCCATCAAAAAGTTAGGTCCCTGTCCCTTCCCCATGAATCTGGATGGGCTTCTGACTGCTTGGACAGACAGAACACTGTGTGATGATACCACGAGACTTCAGAGGTTCAGTTCTAGAAGGCCATGCAGCTTCCCCTGCTTCTCTTGGAATGCTCTCCTCCAGCGACCCCCTCTCAGGACCCCCCCCCCCCTTGCAGGACACTCTGTCTGAGAACCTAGCAGCCATGCAGGGAGCGGCCGCATGGAAGGCCATGTGAGGTGCTCTGCCCCACGGCTCCAGGTAAGCCCAGCCTTTAATCATCCTAGCCTCGGTGATTTCAGCCTCTGGGCGTGTGAGTCTTCCTAGCTGACTTCTGAAACAATGCAAAGCACTGTCAGCCTGCGCCTGTTGTGCCCCCTCCAAGTGCCCGTGAACATAATGCAATGGTCCTCCTTTTATGCCACTAAGTTTGAGGTCATCTGTTACACAGCAGTAGATACTACAAGTAGGGCCTTCCTTGTTCATCCTCCTAAAGCCCTTCACCCCCTTTTCCTTGTCAGCAAAGCACACCAACCCCTCCTGAGGCTGAATATGCCAAATGCTCATGTTCCCAACCCCCTTGGGAGGTGAGTGATCCATTAAGGGAACTATTGGAAGGGGAACATCTGGGGAGGATTTTCCTCCCTGAGGAGAAAGGTACAAGGCAAAACGGCTCCTTTATTTCCTTCCTGTGTTTGGATGTTGTCCTGTTCAGTGGACCAGCAGTCATCTTGCAACCACAGGGGAGCTGAGAGAGATACAGAGACATCACCTAGACTGGACAGCCTTGGTCTGCTGAAACAACAACTTGTGGAACTACCTATTTTGGGTTCTCCTTGCTATACAAAAAAAGAAAAAAATGGGTTTAACCTCTTTCTGTTAAATATTCTGTTATTTACAGCCCAGAGCTTTTTATCTGATACTGAATGTTACCAAAAAAAAAAAAGGTAGAATTATAGGTGAGCCAAATGTTGTTTCACTTGGGCAAATGATATGACAAATTCAGGATTTGAGGGCAGGGGTGGGTTGACTATGAATTCATACAATAGGTGCACAGTCTGAGGTCCCAACTGAGGACAAGGGGAGACGTTTGGCTTTGCTAATAAGCTTTTCAGGCTGCAATCAGGCGTGACAGAGTGAAGCTCTGTTGGATAGAGAAAGCCAACTTCTTCTGTGCCCAAATGAAAGCGAGGATGAACAGAAGCAAGAACACGAGCCCTTGAACAGGTGATAAAACAGGAAGGATTCAGGCTCCAAATCTCTGAAGAGCCTCAGGACCTGCCATGAAATACTTTGTCATGTGACGGGGCAATTTTAGTGAAGAAAACAAGCCTGGCAGGAAAAAAATTAGACTTAGGGTGGTATTCTCCCCCTGAGGTCATTGATTTCAAATCGTCTCAAGGACAGACCTTTAAACTACAGGAGAAACATATTCCCTGAGTAGCCAGGCAGAAATTCTCAACCTTAACAACTGACCAGTGCTGCCCAATAGAACACAATGTGAGCCACCTGTGTAGTATTAAACTTTTCAGTAGCTATGTACGTTAGGAAGTAGAATGAAATAGCACATCTGGGTTCAGACTAGCTGCATTTAGGCTGCCCAATAACTACCGTATTTTTCAGACTATAAGATGCACCCCCCCTGCACCGCCAAATTTGAGAAGAATAATGGTTGTTATTGCTGCTGTTGAGTTCTGTTTCCATTTACATTGGTAAAATATTATGTTATTTATGTTATTAAATATTTTACTACATTTTTTGCTTCAAATTTTTTTTCCTGTTTCCCTCTTCTAAAACCTAGGTTCGTCTTATGGTCCAAAAACTAAGGTACCTGTCACTACCTTACTGGCCAGCATAAGTCTACACAAAATCTTTCCCCGGTTTATTAGCACATGGTTAGACAGTCTGGAAGCCCACTAGTTTTTGCAGCAAATGTAGTGCCAGACACACCACGCCTGGCTTTAACTGGCTCTAATTGTTCAATGCTGACAGCAGCCCCTAAATTCCCACCTCCCAGCCACAGGAAAACAGCTGCCAAAGTTCGGCAGCCCCTAAGGAGGACACATACCTAATGCCCATCTGAGGTGTGCCAGTGAAGAACAGTGGGTAACTGAGACACTCCCTGAAGTCAGGACTAGAAGCTTCCGGACTAGTTATCAAATTTATACTCCCTTTGCCAGGGTAGGGTCCTTACCACTTCTGTCAGGCTGTATGGTGACTCTGCAAAAATGGCTGCAATAATCCCCTCTCTCTACCACTGCATTGTACTCACTGCCCTTAGGTAGACCCCCTCCCATACACTGGGTTTCATCATGACTTACTTCAACCAATAAGACGAAATGTGACACAGAGACTGGCAGACTTGCAGAGTCCTTGTGCGTTGGCCCCCACTCTGCTTTTGGGAGTTCTCAGACCACTGTCTTATGAGTGAGCATGAGCTAGACTCCGAGATGAGGAGAGACATAGCCCAACTACCCTCATTGTTCCAGGCCAAACCCAAAGACCTGCTAGGTAGGTCTTAGACTGCCCCGTGATCACAGGTGGGCAAGTGAGACAGGCCCAGCCCGAATGGCCAATGCACATGAGCAAGACGGTTGCTGTTTTAAATAGCTAAGTTTTGTCAGTCTGTTATACAGCAAAAGCTGATAAAAACAGGGTGTGATATCTGCTCAGAAACAGTGTATTGCATATTTTCTTTCTTGTATGGGATATTATCTCTCATCTGGCATTGTGTTTTGCAGTGGTTTTCAAACTTTAGCATCAGCATCACATGGAAAAGTTATTAAAACACAAACTGCTAGGTCCAGCCAGAGTTTCTGATTTCCTAAATTTCACCGGTAGCCCAGTAATTTACATTTCTAACCAGTTCCATGGTGACGCTCATGCTGCTGGTGTGACATCACCACCCTTGGAGAGCGATTGGCCTATCAGGAGTGTCGTAGACAATTAACTGGTCTTGTAACCCCAGGTGGCTGGTCCATGAGGAATCATCTTGTGGAAGGAGGAAGATGGCGCCGTCCCAGAGGTCTTGGACTTGGAACTGGAGGAGGTAGCTGCATGATATTGGGGTGGCCTCCCTTTGAGGGAGGGGATGAGATTTCATGTGAGTTATATGCATTTTTATTTGTGTATAAGGGAATAAAAGTTTGCCACAATTCAGTGGGCTGTGATAGAGGGTGTGAGCTGTCTACCTAAAATTCATTTCCTCTCCTTTCTACTTTGTCTAGAGTCCAGCTACCACCATTGAGGTTGAAAATGCCAGACAATCCACTTCCCTTGATATGATTAGCATATCACCCCATCCTGGCTAGGAGACCTAAAAGAAATTCTTCTTGAGGGGAAAGGGCAGAATTCTGGGAAAGATATTCTTCCCTGATACAGGAGACATATGAGGAGAATACCGAGAACTCTGCTAGGTTCTTGGACAATTACACTTTCAGAATTCCGTGGCAGGGGCAAGGCTGGCAAATTAAAAGCATGGGACCGAGTCCTGAAGGTGGTGGCAGGAAGTGGCAGGCTGGAATGACTTGTGGTCTACCTCCTAGGAATACCCAAAGATGCCTTTTGGGTGAAGGACAGGCAAAGGATCTTGTCAAGGAGTCTCTCACCTGCAGGCATAAGCAACACAATTTTTGCATTCATGTTACTAGGCTCTCACTTGTAGCCCTAAAATGAATACTGGGAAAATTTAGGTTACATGAAACCAACTACAATTGAAACAATGTAAGAAAGTTCTGTAGTCAACTAGACAACATTGCACATACAAAAAAAAGTTTTTATGAGATGAACTAACATCACATGAGTGACACAGAGACTTTTGTTCTACATCCAACTGGAATTGCTGGAACGAGGAGGAGCATGCGATGTGTTCTCTTCAATGTAGGAAGATTTGGGAAAACATTAGGGGGAAGGTTCTCCTCCTAGATGTGTTGTGACACGTAACTGATGTGATTAAAAGCAAAGGCATCTCCTCTCACTGCATTCAGTGG